TGATATTGTCACCATGTATCTGTATTGGTAAACCTTTCTTTTTTTCTTTTAGAATTACGATACAAAAACTTGATGTAGGGGATATGGATGATGATATGCCAAATCCACCGTCAACACCGACACATCATGGAAGTGCGCAGTCATTAGCTGCACTCGATGAAGATTCTAATAAGGTATTTATTATGGTCAGAATGACTAATTTACACACTAATGGTGATGAATATACATAATGATAAGTAATTTACATATTAATGACTAATCAACATATTAATGCTTGACTAATACCGGGTATATATATTAACAATAATTGCTAGTTTATATTGACACTAGCAATTACTACCACTATTGGTTTACTTTTAAACTAGTGAATAAACATGTTTATTGACCTAAGGTTATAAGGGGTCAGCCGTGAGAAACTATGGAGGGATTTGAAAACAAAATTATACAGGGGAACCCAATAAAAAACGGCATTCATAAAATAAAAAATGCAAACACATTTAATAGGTGAACTTGAATAAAAACACAAATATGGTTTTATTATCCTGAAACAAAAAAACCTACTAAAAACTAAAACAAAAATAACACAATTTTGTACAGTTTTCAACTATCTAATCTTCTAGAGTTTCTAATATTTACTTAAAATCCTAATGACTTGTTTCAGAATAAGCAGTCATATATTTGATATCACTGCATTCTAGTCCTCAGCAAAGTTTTTCAATTCGTCTGTTTTCTGCACACTCAAGGAGCTAAGTAGTTTTATTTGCTGTAGTCATGCCTTCAGGTGACTGGTCATTTGACAACAAATATTGTAAACTACAAAGTAAAATAGCTCACTTTTTGTTATATTAGCTGTGGGTACTTAGCTCTTCTTGTATCTTTAGTCTTTAGTCTTTGTGATGATATTTTAGTCATATATATACTTGGCAAATGAAGTTTAGGCATAGTGCCCCAGAGACCTTGTGTGGGGCAGCTTGATACAGATTCAAAATAGAAAGCAATGAACAGAATATTGCAGGCAACACAAAATTGTTGACCCCTCCCCCTCCCCTGAAAAAAGGCGGGACACTCATGAGGAGTCCATGTGAACAGTAACCAAGATGCAATAAGTAGTAACAAGTCAAGACAAATATCCAGGAAAAAAATATTGACACAGAAGAGCTATGGTTTCTCTCATAGACTTGTGTAACACAAACATGCGTTTGGTCAGTCTTTTCATATGACTTAACTTTGTTATGTATTGTAAATATGTATATACACATCAGTATTAACATCAACTAATCATGTCTGATTACTATGAATTATCATTGTAATGTGAAAACATTTATGTTGGATATAGATGTGATTTTATGCCTGTCACAGTCATTATAAAGTTACTCTATTTTAGTAACTATATTGTTTTCATACACTTGTCCTACATTTCTTGCTGTGTCTGCAAGGTTTGCTCCATATATGAAGTTCAAACTCATCCCATATGTGTCTATGTTAGACAATATTAACTTACTTATAGTAACTAGCTATTTATACTGTCCTCCATCCCACGCACAATTTCAAGGTTCGTCAGAGCAAACTGAAATTGCATCTTGGTATTACCCATGATACTTTGCATTTCTAGGTAACCAAAGGTTGTACCATTAAAAATCTACAGTCAAAACTAGAATGTGGTGAACCTATATTAAATTGCCATTGTTACACTGTCATTGTCATATTGCCATAAACCCAAATAACATTTTCCACAAACTAATCTAAATTTTTTTTGCTAACAGAATGATGAAACTCCTCGACCAGTGTCTATTGTCCTCAGAGATAAATTGGATCTGAAACTAACTTTAACAGAGGATATGTTAAAATCTTCTGCACTCATCAAAGAAAACAGAAATCCACTCCATAATGACGTGGAGAAACTACTTGTACAAAATCGAATAGTTAACAACGTCACTCACGATGATAATGATGCACTGTCAATTGAACATATCGATAATGCACTTTATGATTGTCTAAAGGATGCCATGGAAACAGTTCGAATAAATAGTGCACGGAAAGATGACCACTCAAAGATGGAAAATGTAAAACCACATAGAGATTTTAGTAATTACATGAAATCACAAAGGACTAGTCAGAGTAACTTTATCAAAACGCCTACCATGATGGTGGAGTCGTTAGATACTTGTGCTGATCAGGGTACAGATGTCAAATCTAAGATTGCAGCTGAGGATGACGAGATTAGATCTGAAAGTTCACTCAAAGAGAGGAGATCAAGACCACCATCTTCAAGACCATTGAGGTTTGTTTGATTAGTAATGGATGCAGGGACATAGTGACATCTTGATTGGCTCGTGATTGATTTATGTTTCTCATATGATTACATCATTGGTTGTGAAGTTTTTAATTGTTAGTCTGTGTGTCAATGATCTGTTCGTGGATAATTACACCAGTCTATAATGGTAGGGTTTTTATAATTTCTGATGTAATTTATCACTT